CTCTATTTTGTTTCTAAGCATTTGTTCGATCCATTCGCCTTTGTGTTCAGATATTCCCACCTTTACAACACCTCGGTGCCGTAGCTGTTGGAAGTAAGGAAACGACTCTACACTATCTATTCGGGGGTGCAGTACTAGCACGAATGAGGTATGACACACTAGGGAGTTTTTCCATCAAAAATCCTAGGGAGATCGCCAAATGCACCATTACCAGCCTAAATAGATTCATCGAAAAATCGAGATTGTTTGAAAGCAGAAAAAAAAACACGGATCCCAGAGAAAGCGTATCAAAATGGTGCTGTAAGCACTAATTGGGTTCTGGGCATGTGCTCAGGCGAAGCTTCTACCAACCAACCAAATAAGCTCCGTATAAAGTTTGAACGTTTAATTTATATGATTTTGCTTAAATTAAAAAAAAATAAAAATTGTATAGGTCAAAAACTTTTAGTAAATTCCTGCAATCGCAATGCAATGCTTCTATTAATTCCAAGTTGTATTATTTGCAAATTCGTTAGTAAAGTGTTTAACAAAAGTTTTGTGAATATACTAAAAAGCAAACTTAAAACAAAAACAGTTTTAAATAATTTTATATTGATTAAGACAACTAAATTTAAAACAAAACTAAATAATTGAACTATAAATTGTAAACTCAAACAAAAATTTTTAAATATCTAATATACATACAGTGGGGAGCAAAAATTAGTACATGGTGGCTTTTGAAGGTTTTTAAAGTTACATTTTTTCGCTTATATAAAAATATGGTTCATTCTTTAACTAAAACCATATAAATCAAACGTTCAAACTTTATACGGGGCTTAAAAAAATTTTGGAATTTTTAATCTGAATCGCGTTGATTTTTAATATATATATTTTTTTTTCTCTCATCTTTTGCGGANTTTGGAATTTTTAATCTGAATCGCGTTGATTTTTAATATATATATTTTTTCTCTCATCTTTTGCGGGTTTTTTCATATAGCAGTTGCAGTTTATAAAAAATGGCGTCGTTTTTTTTTTAATTCTTTGCACATTTTCTTCCATAAGAAAGTCATGCTTATATGGAAATATAGAAGAGGCCGTCAGCAAAAATATAATTACCAAAAATCAACAAAAATTTTAAAGGCNGTTTTTTTTTTAATTCTTTGCACATTTTCTTCCATCTTATATGCTTATATGGAAATATAGAAAAGGCCGTCAGCAAAAAAATAATTACCAAAAATCAACAAAAATTTTAAAGGTTATAAAACTGCATACCCAAAAATTTTCCAAAAGTTCAGATTAAAAGTTCAAAATTTTAATGAACTTTTCTACGCTCTGTAAGCTTAGGGTGCACAGATTGAATCTCAGAAAAATCTTCAAGGAGTGCTACAGAACGAAACTGTGGCAACCATAAAAAGATGGATTAAAGCAGTAAAAAAAATGGTTAAGAAAACTAAAATTGCCTCTTGGCAGTCATATTGCATATCCATAGAGNAGAACGAAACTGTGGCAACCATAAAAAGATGGATTAAAGCAGTAAAAAAATGGTTAAGAAAACTAAAATTGCCTCTTGGCAGTCATATTGCATATCCATAGACAACTGTAGGGATTCCTTCCGTCAGGCTAAGCAAAGTATTAGCCAAAGACAACACAAGCTCTAGCCTGTTTAAGGGAGAGGATGGTGCATGGACAGCGAAGGAGTCACTAGAAACCCTCATTAATACACACTTTCCTGGCTGCAATCTCAAAAGAGTTACACGACTCAATCGTTGACAGAGAAAAAATTTAATTCGCTATAACAAATTCTCCCCACATAAATCCCCTGGCCCAGATGGTATCCTACCGATAATGCTTCAGAAATTACAGCAGCCCTCGGTATTCTGGCTGGAAAGGCTCTACAAAGCCAGTATCAGCTTAACATACATTCCGAAAACCTGGTAAAGGGTCAAAGTTGCCTTCATACACAAACCGGGAAGAAAAAATAATGAAAAAGCTAAAGACTTCAGACCAATAAGTCTAACATCTTTCCTGCTAAAGTTATTGCAAAGACTGTTACACTTACACAGAAAGCATTTTCTGGGAAACTCCAAACTTTCCAAAGCTCAACATGCACACATTAAGGGCAGATCGACTGAAACTGCCCTTCATGAAGTTGTGGGCACCATGGAAAAATCACTCCACTACAATCAGTATACGTTGGTGGCCTTCCTCGACATATTTAGGGGGGGGCCTTCAATAACATTACAATCGAATTGTGGTGAAGCCATCACTACATCATCTGCATATGCAACTACCTTCACTCCACCTTTGTTGAGGTCAAGTAGAATGTCGTTCAGTGCCACCACCCACAGTAGTGAAGACAGAACTCCTCTTGAGGAGTGCCTCTATTTTGTTTCTAAGCATTTGTTCGATCCATTCGCCTATGTGTTCAGATATTCCCACCTTTACAACACCTCGGTGCCGTAGCTGTTGGAAGTAAGGAAACGACCCTACACTATCTTTTCGGGGGTCCAGTACTAGCACGAATGAGGTATGACACACTAGGGAGTTTTTCCATCAAAAATCCTAGGGAGATCGCCAAATGCACCATTGCCAGCCTAAATAGATTCATCGAAAAATCGAGATTGTTTGAAAGCAGAAAAAAAACACGGATCCCAGAGAAAGCGTATCAAAATGGTGCTGTAAGCACTAATTGGGTTCTGGGCATGTGCTCAGGCGAAGCTTCTACCAACCAACCAAATAAGCTCCGTATAAAGTTTGAACGTTTAATTTATATGATTTTGATTGAGGAATGAAGCATGTTTTTATAAAAAAATAATAAAAAAAATAACTTTAAAAACCCTGCAAATATTCGACAAAAATCACAATGTACATATTTTCGATCCCCACTGTATATACGGGTATGTACATAGGCCTGTTGCGATGTCCAGGAGAGGGTTTCCCTATGCCATTTCTATAAACCGGCTTGATTTTCAGCGAATCCTAGCAAATCCTCTAATGGAGTTTTCATTAAGTTGTGTAACCTCTCGAAGAAGTTATCCGCCAAAAATTTTTAATTTTCATTGAAAAAAAGGTCATGCTTGAAAAAAAGAAAATGTTAGATTTTTCGGATCCTGAGGCTTAATAAAGTATGTATCACAATTATACGCCAACCACAAATTTAAAAGTTCTGACTATTATTTTTATTATTTAATTTTAGTTATTTTTCATACATATATGTATCGTGTGTTCTTTGACCAAAAACCGTATAAATCCTTGTTAAAATTTTTTAGCGATGTAAAAAAATTATATATTATAAAATTTTGAAGAAAAGGTTATTGATATTTAATGGTAAACTTTAACCACGAACAACTTTTGGAGGACTGAATTTATAAAAAATCTTAAAATACTTATATTGCACAGTCTCGAATTTCCTTCAAAATTAACCGCTAGACCATTCCTTTCTGCCCAGCTTGCCAGAATTCAGTGCGAATTGTAGAGTCATTGACTGTCGAAATGATTCTCTACGACCAGAATGACAAAAACCGTCTGCATACGCAACAGCTTAGTGCATTTTTTCGAAGACCTAAGCAGGAATTCTTAGACCGGTTACACAGGGGACATCGATTCTCTGGGAGCCATTGATGTTTTTTGTGTACTCAACGCATTTTCAGGTCCAGAGAATGATAGTGGAATGTGCAGAATGGCGGGGAGTAACCTTGGCATCCGACTAACTTTGTTAAGGGCGCCTACCACGTCCAAAAAGGCTGCAGTCGCTTATTTCATATGGTAGAAGACTTATTCAACATTCCCACCAATTTCATACAAGAACTGTTCTACTTTTCGATAAGCATGTTGGGCCTCGTTGAAATTTTCGGAGGAAAATCTCAGACTCTCCATTATCTTGAAGAGAAATGAAAAGTTACTGCTGGGTCTAAAATTCTTTGCACTGCTATGGCCCGTATTCACCGCTTTAGGAATTAGGACCACTCTTACCTCTCTCACTAGGCTTCGGTATATATGTAGCTAAGGCGAAGAGCAGCCATGCAGATAGCTTTAGCCAGAGAGTTATTGTGGCCACTTCTAACACTGGCGGCGCCCCTAATTAACTAAGTGTAAGCTCCTATGCTATAAAAAGATATTTTAACCACAATTTTTAGTTGAAAGTTTAAGTATCTCTAATTGTTCTGCATTTTCATTTTGATAAAAAAAAAATCTTCAAGTTTCGTAATCAAAACGCTTTATAAAATTAAACTCATTTAAAACTGTTTTTGTATTTTATGCGGGTAGTATCTTTTTTTGCAAATTACAAAGCAAATTTACGCTTCCACGTTTTTAGTTTCCTTTTCATTTTATCATAAAGTCTTCATTTGAAATGTTTTCTTACAAAAGTAAATTCCAGATTTTTTTTTTTTATAAATTCCAAATTTTCCTACGAAGTGGATTCATTTAATCCACATAATTGCAATTACATATGTACTCACCTTTCAACCTTTCAAAAGTGTTTAACGACTCAATTTTGATTTTGAGTGACTCCCTAGTATGACTCTCTCACTTTTCTTACTCTTCTACTCTCTTGTATGCTATGCAAATACATGTATTCTTTCTCTTAAACATTCTTATATACGTATCCTAATGCTACTACATACACACCTATATACTACATATTCTAAAAATGTTAAATACTTATTCAAATACATATACCATTATTGTATTATGCTCTAAACATCTAAAAAAAAAAATTCCAAGACTACTACATACTCACTATTCTTAAGTACTCGTAGTTATGTTAATTAAAAAAGCTACACCAAAAAACCTATACTAAAACAAACAAACAAATTTACTAAATGAAAATTTTCAAAAATTCTTTTCTTCAAATCCATACCCACTCAATAATTACTGTTACGATTCGAACAAATTGAAACTGTGTCCGTTATGAAACAAATTTACTTTCCGATTTATTACTACTGTTTGCTGTTAAAAAAAAAAAAAAACGTTACCGTTACCGTTAAATCGTTCACACGTTGTACTCGTAACACATAAAGCCATCCATCCAAAGCCAAAGCGGTCGTCGTCCGAGCTGGATTGATCAGAGGGTCAAAATTCAGACACGCAAATTTAGCATCAAAGTTAGTCTCACCATAATTTAGTATCACATAAATTTTCTTCTTATACTTAATTAATTTCCAATTTTTTTACACACATGACGCTATCAAATTTTTAATTAATAAAATATATTCATGCTACTCCTCACGACTTTTATTATTATTGATATGCATTTAAGCGATTTTATGGCAAAATAATTAATATTTACTTTTACTAATCAAATATCTACTGCATAAGTAGCTTCACTAACCTATTTTAAACAAAAAATCCGCATTGGCTACAAAAACAAACGAAATTTCGTAGATTTGAATTTAGTTTTTGCTACTTAGTTGGCTTCTTATTGATTACGCATACCTTTTGTTTGACAACAGAAATTAGTTACGGAAATGCGGAAAAAATGTATATATCACAGCGAGCCTTAATGCTATTACCGCACAAAAAATAAACCACGCTAACCAACACATATTATATCAAAAAGGGACTATTTTATTTTTAATGAATTAAAAAGCCTGAAATTTAATTCGGCTAATCGAAGTAAAATTGTCCTTTAACGATTGTAATGTAAATATTTAGAGTAAATTAATGTTTATTACATGTATATGTATATACATATATAGTATAAAAATGTTTTTAACTAAATTTCTGGCATGGATTTTTTTCCTTTTGTGTAGAAAAAATGATAGTGAGCCCTAACCGCTAAAATAACGTAAGCGACATTTTTTTCAAAATTTTCTTTTTTGATGCAGAAATATTCCTAATCATATCTAGATGCGCTTCTGCATCAAAAAGAAAATTTTGAAAAAAAAATTTCGCTTATGTTATTTTGGCGGTTAGGACTCGATATAAACATTTGAAATCAGTAAAATCGAAACACGTCTCTGGGTGCTTTAAATTTGAATGTTTGAGAATTTTTTTCAGATTAGAAAACGATATGGAATTGGAACAGTTGGGTTTCTTCTTTGAAAAAGCAGAAAGTAGAGCGAGGAAAAAAAATCTTAAAATAAGTTTAACGAGTATTTAAACAGTTGTTGAAACGCTATGGAATTGAAACACAACATTTTTAATTTTAGTGAAGTGAAGTGAATGTGAAAGATGACTTTTTATGATTTAAAAAAGCATAAATTTTTAGGTAGAAAGATATGCTGGAACGACTTGGAATTGGAAGTATTTTCTTTTTGGTAACGGAAGCGGTAAGATATCATCTTATGTATTTTAAAATAGATGTGCCGAATAATGGGTAATGTAATGGGCTGAAACGATTTGGAATTGGAAAATTTTTTATAATATTTCCTTTGAAGCGTTTAGCGTTAGTTACGTAAAACCATAACAGGAAACAAAATTCAGGGAAAAAAAATTTTGGAATGACGTGAAATTGAAACCAAATGTATTCCATTTTAGTAAATGAAGCGTGAAGATATCACCTTATGATTTTTAAAATAGCTGCCCTTACAGTGGGTAATAAAAATGTAGAAACGATTTGGAATTGCAACAAATTTTTGTTTTTGTATTATTTTTTATATTCTCTTGCGTTAGTATTTTCGAAGTTGTTTGCACAAATTTCAGGGGCGGGCACGAAATGGTTTTGGAATACGTAAAGTTGCATGTTAGCAGACATGAATTTTATTTCACTAAATAGCAAATACAGGAGTGATTAAATTTTTAGAAACAATACATAATAATATAATAACAATATAATAATATCGGTTGTAGCGCTTGTGAGCGTTAATAATTACTTACTTGTTTGCATAAGTTCCATCACAGGAACGAAAGGGAATTAAACTGCGTAAGTTTGGACGATAGAAGTAGCAAACACAAATGTCATATCATTTTTGGGTAGAACAGAACCTGTTTGAAAATACTTAAGGTATTTTTTTTATCCAGCTTAAGGAATGTAGGTGCAATAGAATGGGTAACAAAAACACTGAAACGATTAGGAATTTAAAAAAGGGTTTTTTAATTAGCTTTCTAATACCTTTCAGAAGCGTAGTTATTCAGTTTTGAGTAGATTGAACGAACGAAGAAGTATTGAACCCCATTAGCAGGAATAACTAGGAATGTCTGAAAATAACGGTATGTGAATGGGCTTGTTCGAGTTGCAAGCACAACCGCAGTGTTGCGCGAATTATTAAAGTATCACGTTCTGTGTGAATTTCTAGCAATGAATTACCAGTTGGGTAGTTGCAACAATGTTGCCATTTTTCATCAGTACGGCAGTAATGCCGCTTTTATTACGTGCCTCGAACAGGCCCTATATAAGAAATGCAAGGCAAAATAATTTTTCACAAAAATTTGGGGGGGAACAAAATGAAAGTAAACAAAAAACACTGTTTGAAAAATATTGAATGATTTGGAATTGGAACGAATTTTTTAGCATTGTCATACATATATTTCAACTATCATTCAACCAAAAAATACTTTGAATATGTGTTAAATACAAGGCAAACTTCACAAAATAGTAGTTGTCGAGAGCTTTCTTTGCACACGAGAATCAATTGAAAAGCGGAACTAAATGGAATTGGAGCGTTTGGGACTCGACTCAAGCAATATATCTACTTATTCAAGTCTGCTTTTCGTTTGTATTCCTGTATTTTAATGGGTGAGAAACAACATGGAATCAGAATAAAAAATGCAATACAAAATTTAACTTTAATTATTTTTCATTTCATTATTTTTCATGTTTTCTAAGTTTGGGCATGTATCAGGTATGCGAAACGATTTGGGATCGATTTTTTTTCAACACGCACACACGTAAAAACAAGAAAAATGTGCAGGAGTAAGAAAAAAGGTGTTGTTATAGACACGTGGAACAGTTTGGAATCGAATCCAACAAATTTGTTATAAAATCAGCTTCACATTCTTTTTTTTTTATTTTTAATGAGATAAAAAAAGATATAAGATTAAAATATTTTCCTAAATTTTCTAAAAGACGCGTGCAACAAATTGAAATTGGAAAGAACAAAATTTTAATAACAAAAGAAGTTTGCCTGTTCTGCAAACAATTTTTTCTTTAATTTTTAAAGGAATTAATGTTAAGGGGTTTATAGACGTTTTAAGGAATCTAGAAAAGTATTTTAACGGCCTAAATTATTTTGCATTGATTCTGTTTATTTTGGGCAGAAATAGCGCGGAATGATTTGGAATCAGAACAGTTTTTATTTCGACGAGTATATAAGCATTTATTTTTAACATAAACAAGAAACAAAATTCAAAAGTAAAGTGAAACCAACTTAGAATCGGAACAAAAAATTGTGGTAATGAAATTAGGTTGCCACTTTTCAAAAACATTTTCTTTTTAGCTATATTAGATATAAGTTACAAGCGTGCAATCTTTGCGGGAGCGGCTTGCAGTCTGCGATGTTTTTTCATTGGGTGCACGCGAATTTATACTTCACAAAAGCAGGAAAAACTATTCTAAAAATTTTAAATATAAATCAAGCTTGCCTGTTTTGAAACTAAATATTTTCCATTTACATTTTGGGGGCTAAACTCGATCACAAAATTTTTTTTTAAATCTTAAGAAGCATTTAAAAGACATGTGAAACATTGTGGAATCGGAACAAACAAATTTCATAATAACAATTTAACTCACCTAATTTCTAACACTTTTTGTCTAGATACCATATATATTTCTGCAATTCGTGTTAGAAAGAGTATGGGGAACGAACGGAATCGAAACATTTATTTGCTGAATCATCGTCTTTCTTTGTGATTTTTACATTCGCATAAGTCAAATTGTTGTTAATTCCATGCGGAAACTAATTGGAATTGGAACGACATTTTTGGCATTTAAATATGCTTAAAGAAATTTCCATTTAAATTGTTCTCACTTTTTTACGCGCCGTTTTTCATGCCATGCATATCTACATACATTATACAGTATGTGCCGCTTTAAAAGCCAATGCCTGCTTGCAAACCTACTTAACTGTTTCCGTTATCGTTGGCTCGTAACAGCATGCGTACGCATGTATTTATGAATGTATGCTTCAAAGTAAGCTTCACACAAAAGCGGCTTAAATTTAATTAAAACCACACAAGCCATTTTACAAACTCGCCAGTGACGCCTACAATTAATTGCAACGATTTAATGTACATCTCTCACGGAGAGTATGTAGCTCATATCGTTATACTCGTATTTATGTAGGTATGTAGGTATGCATGTACATACATATGTGTGTGAACGTTTACCGAAGGTAAAATGGTCAAATCATTCGCCTGGTCGGATATGCTTTACTAAATGTCTGCCACGGGCTATAGACAAGCGACATATGTATGTAAGACAAAAGGCGCACAAGCGCCACCATACCATTGTGAGGGCAATACATGTTGTATGTATGTACATATATTTGTATGCATGGATTGTACACACGCATTACCAATGACAGGAAATTGAAGCTAATCGATTTTAAGCTGCTTGCCTTGGCATTTGCCATCACCTTAGTGCCTTTGCGTAGGAGCTCAGCAAGTATTCACAAATTAACACGTACTGCAGCCTTACATACATACATACATGCATATGTACATAGCATTTATATATGTATGTGCGATATGGGTCGATCGAAGGCAATCGACTGTGCAACTAATAACAGGATTACTTAATGCTCGTTTCGCAAGCGAAATAAGCTGCGTTGATACTCGTAACTACATATTTGCACAATCTTTGTCGTCTGTTTGAGTCGACTGGCTTTTAGAGTTGCTGCCAGAATTTCTATTGAAATTGTTGGCGCAAATTATTCACGGCATTAGGACAAAGCAGCGAAGGGCATCCGACTGTCATCAGTGAATGACAAATTAGAAAAAAATTAATACAAATTTTTTGTTGGCCACGAAATGACATACATTTATTGTATGTATGTATATACTCGTATTGAAAAATGCAGAAAAATATATCTGCCTACAACTATGACCGATACTTACATACATCCGCCTAGGAAATGTACTATTTATGTGCCACCACCGTGCCCAACACAGCGCACACTCGTGAAAAGTTTACTAAAGTAAAAGCATGCATAAATATGTATATATACATATGTATGTACATGTGTACATATATTGTATACATCCATACAAACAAACATACATGCATTATATGGCTGGTTTGAGTATTTGTTGGCAGTGACAGCAATAAATCTTCAATTTTGCTTTTAATTTCTTAGAGTAAATGAAGAAGAGGCGGGGTGGGTGAAGAAGCACCTGGAAAAAAACAATTGAACTTTGACACATATGTATGTATGCACAATAAGTCAGTGGATATATAAATATGTATATATATGTAACATACACTTTGAGAAGCACTTTCAGCGCCAACAAGTCTGTGCAATTATTAGCGCAAGCCAAAGGAACAGCCCGTTGGCCTCGACAAGCTTTCAAACTCACACCAACAATTGCG